AGGATACATTGTCTAACACAGGAATGGTAATGAGGTACATTAAGAAAATTTGCACAATTCCTATTGGGTCAGGTTAGAGAAAGCAGTCTTTGTTAAAAACTAAAATACTATTAATTCAGTACTTGTACAGGCGTTAATTCATTAGGAATTTCATATATCACACTGTGGAGGTAAGATATTTTTGAGGGGCTGGGAGGACTCTGCAGCATCCATATACTACGAGATCATTAGAATCATTAACATTCTTAACTAGTTTCAGTAATTACAGGGGAATAGTAGGAACTTCATTACAGAGAAATCTATCAGTCTAGTGATAACTGTTATCACCACCAATAATGGGGTACATAGGTATCATGTCCTTCCTGGTAAGATTTGCTGAGAATCATTTCTACGATCTTCTTTTAAAAACTGCTGAACCTGAATCTAATCATGAGGAAATACCAGACAACTCAAATTGAGAAAGATTCTAAAACAAACAATCTGTACTCTTAATAAAATGTTAAGGTCATAAAAGAAAAAATGAGTAACTTTCCAGATTAAAAGAACATGATAACTAAACATAACGTGTGGTCCTGGATTGGCTTCTGGAGAAGAATACACATACACACAAAATCTTTTGCTTAAAAGGCACTAATGAGACCTGAAGAACTAGATGGTGCCTGGCTACCACTTCTGATCATTCTGACCAAGGACACAAGAGAAGGTCCTAGGTAGAACAGAGAAAAATAGAGGAGAAAAATAGAGAGCAAAACTCAAACTCCTAAAAAATGCCAGACTTACTACTTATTTGCTACATTATCACTCCTCTACATAAGTAACTTTCCTAATAAATATTCTGTGATATTAACCCATCCACATTCAAATTTAAGTATTCAAATACATACTAACTTAAAAATGTAAGTTAGTCACTATTTTAAATTATCAGTATTCCTGCTCAAGGTATTGTTTCCAAGAAGAATATGGAAAGAGAAAAATACTATACAAATGTATGTATTATAAAATATTAAGTTTGGGAACCTAAGAATTAATAGGAGCTCTGGTAGCATAGTGCCTAAGGCATATGACTGCTAACTAGAAGGCTGGCTGTTCAAACCCACCAGCTACTCCTCAGATAGAAGGATGGGCAATCTTCTTCCGTAGTGATACCACCTTGGAAACCCAAGGAGAGGTCGCTATGAGTCCGGTCCAACTTGATGGCAGTGTTTATTTTGTGTTAAGAATTAATATGAATACTACTAAAGCTTTTATAAGTAATATAGCTTATGAGTCGGGTCCAACTCCATGGCACATAACAACAACAAATATAGTCTAACACATAATAGTGTCATTTATACTTTTTCTTACGTCTGAGAAAAAATGTGCTCTTTGTGCTTGTCTCATTTTAAATCGCTTAATTTTCTGCTGGATTCTCTTATCTTTCAAAAGCTGCTCTTCTGTAGCCCATTCACAGTGAAGATAGGAGCTAAAAATTTTATAAAAAATAATGTATTAGAACGATACAGAAAATCATGCTATGGATTTTCAAGATTTAATTTAGTCATAACATTCAATAAAATATTATCTTCAACTTTACATATAGGTAGTTCATCATTTTATTTAATAGAGTCTTGTATACTTTTTGAAATATAATCATTGTGATCACTGTATCCTGAAGAGACTATAGTATAAAGGTCTGCCATTTGCCTTGGAGAAAGAGAATAGTAAACTGAGTCACAAGGGTAGTGGGAAGATGTGATTCATCATTTATTTATTTACTATAAGAGTTTTGTCATGATCAGAAAACTAGGTTATTTTGAAACCAATGTAATTTTTTTAAACACTTTATCTAACAGAAGAATACTTAGAAAAGTTGGAAAACATTTAAAAAAAAAGAGTAAGTGGTTTCCCACGATTAGCAACCTTGTAGTTTAATTTACCTATACCCAAGATTACAATTTTAGTCAAATCATCATATGATATAATAACCCAGAGATCAAAAATGTTTTTTTTGCAAAAAGAATGAAATATGAAAAGCTCACCAATACAAACAGAATAATGGCAACAATTTGTAAAAGTAGGTTTTATGTAAAAAATTACTGCATTTTTAGATTAATAATTAATGTCTTCTGAAAGCAAAAACATTCAATTTTGATGTGAAAAGATATCAAACAGTGCCTTTTCACCTTTTCAATGATAAGAGTCATTATCATATATAATATATACAAAAGGAAAATCAAGTTATTTGCGGTACTTTATATTTAAATCAGTATCTTTCTAGTGTTTATTTTCTAACTTGTATACTTACTAATTCTTGTATTTTACAAAAAATTCTTCTGTATCAATCATCACTCCAGGGGATATCTTTAAGAAAATAAAATCAATAATTATGACTTTTTAAAGAAAGCCATCGAATACAAACGTAACATGTAAAGTACCATTACTTACTTCCTTTTTCACAATTCTAGAAGATAATATTTTGTCCACAATTGCAGCATCTTCTTCACTGGGATTCTCCTGTGGGAAGAAGGCGAAAACAAACAAACAAACATACATACATAATGGAATATATTCCAAGAACTTCTTGGTTCTCATGTCACATTGTATATAAAACATTTATTTAGTCTATGTGCTCTGTTAAATGACAGGAATACAAATATGGAAAAAGACATCATTGTTCTTATTGTCCTCATCATTTGTATCATTACAGTAAAGACACTGTGTTTTTTTTATGTGCTAGGCATCATTGAAGCACAGCACACGTATTAACTAATTGAATCCTACAGCAACACTAGGCACTATAGGTACTATTATCATCTCCATTGTATGGATGAGGAAACTCAAACTAGAGAAGAGGAGCATTTGCTCAAGGCCTCAGCTATTAAGAAACAGATGAGAGGCTGGTTTACAACACAATTCAGGGTTGTTAAAAGAAGTTTATAAAGAGGAAAGGCATATGCATAAGCACAGAAGTGGCAAAACATGGCATTGAGGCTATTACTTTCATAAAGCTAGGGAAGTGCGTGCTTGTAGAGAAGCAGCAGAAGGGCAGAAAAGACCCAAAGGAAAGGGCTTTATCAACTGTACAAAGGTAGCATTATTTTTCTAAGATTTAGAGAACTATTAAGGAGTTCTCAGTAGAGCAATATGATCAGACGTAGAATTTAGAAATATTCTGCAGAAAGGATACAGAAGTTGGAGGAGTTTCAAGGATATTTATTTTAAAGGAAGAAAATGTAGCATGTAATGATAAATCAGAGGAAGAAGTAAAAGAAAAGAGAATAAAATAAATTCCTAGGTGTCTAATTTGAATGACCAATGATTCTATTACCTACACAACACAGAATCCAGAATTCAGGAGGAAAGACAATGAAACAATTTTAAAGAATTTATGATAGCTTAAAATGTTTTACAGTCATAATCCCAAATATATCTTACCACAAATAATTGTAAGGGTTGTTCACCAGGTAAAGGAGCTGAATTCTTTTTTATTTTCATAGAACCTTTAATTGATTCTTCACATTGTTTCCCTTCTGCTTCTTCTGCATATTTTTTCCTTTTAATTTGTCGATTTGATCTTCTTTTCTGTAATGAACCATAAGGATCAGATTTATATAATTAACTTTGAAGGAAAGATCTTAAAAATAATTATCCCTAAAGTTGGTAATTTTGTACATTAAATTCTGAAAATTATATTCAACATTCATCTTTTCTCAATTTTTCTTTTAATGAACACAAGATTATAATTTGCCCTTTGCCACAAAAGGCTTAGTATCTTCCTAGCATTCTACTTCCTAAAATTTGAAATAACAAAGTTTAGTAATGCCTTTATTACTTTTCTTTAGAAATTGTTAAAAGCAAAAAGGTCTGTGTTGTATCGAACTATTTCAGTTTGAGCAAAACAGACTTTATTACTAATATCTTTATCACTTTATTACGTTTCCTTAAAAACTATTGTTAAGAAAAGTAAAAAAGTATATATTCTATTTAACTATCTCACATCTCAGGAAACATACATTTTAAACTACTAATACTTGCACAATTTTTGTCCAAAACCCAAAACAATATTAGATGAATACCAGTGAAATAATTAATTGGGAGCATACACTGAGAAGAATACACTAAATAACATTTGTCATGAAATTGTGTTTAAAACAGAATAAAAAAATTAAATGATACAAAAGATTTTAAAAGAGATACAAAAATAATGAAATATAAAAATTATCAAATTTTTAATTTGAATGAGTGAGGAAACAGTATTTTAATGACCTTACTAGCTTTTTTAAAAAAGAACAGGACCATCATAAAAACAGAAGTATACCTTTTAAAAAGTATTATTTGTTGTAACATTCTAAAATAATCTAAGAAATTTTAAGTCAGGCATCAAACACACATGGCTTTACTTACCTCCCTAAATATCTAACTTTTTTTTTCAGAAATTTTATATTTCTAGGAAAATTTATTTTAAAAAGTACTCTTCTTTTGATGTTCCCAACAAAAAACCCCAAATCTCAGGATGCCTCGAAAATTCCAGAGTCCTCAGATTTGCTTTTGCCCATCCCTAAAATTTCTTGGGTAAAGGCATCATAGCCAACCAACTGTTCTATTGCTCACTATTTGGTGAATCCATCCCTTCTTTATTTTTTTTCTCATTCTCTTCTGTATGTTGAGTTCTCTCCCTCCCAGCCCCAAAAAATGGAATCAGGAAAGTAACACTACTGCTCTCCTTCTGGTTTCTTACAATGACTTCTATACAAGAGATCTTTTGTTTACATATGCAGCTATGACAAAAGTGACTGAGTGATTGCAGCAGTGCTGGGACAAATTGTTACTTGCAACCAAAGAGGCTGCTGTGGCCTTTACCATCATGCCTCTGCTCCTTCCTCTTAGAAGTGGGATACTGAGAGAAGAAAAGGCATGAATATGGTTAGCTCAGCCAAACGGAGTAGACAACTCCATGCTCATTTAGGATGCTCATACACAGAATCACCATCTCTTGGCCATCCTCATATACAGGATCACACTTACATATTCAAAACTCAAGGTGACAATTTTGTTTATATGGGAGACAAGAAAATAGCAGTACAAAAATTATAATACAAGGACTCCCAGAAGCTCAATTTTTTCATATCCTATTTTGAGAATAGATATGAAATGTTTATTATTCTCAGGGGGAAAAAATCCTATACAATTATTTAAATTAACACCAGGGTAAAAGAATGTTTAAAATTTTATCATGAGCATCATATATATCTGATGTTCAAAAAGAGTTTAAATTAATATCCTATTTATTATTCTACAATAACATGCATTATCAATGTAATGTCTCACTAGGCATACGCCTTCTAGATAAAGATGTTTGAGAATAATCTAGTACATTTGTGAAAGATACTGTTAAATGTTTTCAGCACTATAGTTTATGGTCACTTAGGCATCTATGCATCCTCTGAAATGCCTCACTTACACTTCCCATGAAACAAAGCAAAACCCGTTGCCATTGAGTTGATTCTGACTCATAGTGACCTCCACTAGGTTTCCAAGGCTATAAACCTCCATGGGAGTAGATTGCCTCATCTTCTTCCCATGTAGCAGCTGGCGGGTTTGAACTGCCTACCTTGTGGTTAGCAGCCCAATGCCTTAACCACAGCTCCACCAGAGCGCATTTCATTTGTACTTCAGTAGAGAGCAAATAAGTAAGTAGCCTAGAAGACTCCTTTGAACTCATAAAAATACATAGATAATTCTTCACAAGAAAGAATGAGGGTCACATATTGTAAACTGCTCCCTCATTCTACGAAGACTTTATCAGTCTAACTGACTAATTAAAGTCTATGAATCAAGAAACTATAGTTGATTTCACCATAAACTATATTCTACTAGCATATAAAGTCACATATTAGGTGTCACTCTCAACAGTTATCCTTTTCTGTTATGTAGCCTCTCTACCAGTTTAAAAATACAAAAACTAATTTGATGTCCACAATTTTGGGCCATGTGCTCTTTTCTGGATCATTTTCCTTATAATGTTGTTCAAAGCACAATTTGAAATAGTGACAAATTCTCCCTTCTAACTTATTTTTAGCTTCTTTCTTCTTATGTCTTAAAGTATCAGCCCACAGCACTTGATGGAAGGGGTCAGAAACATTATGCTTTTAAATGACTAATATTTCATTATGGTAGCATATCACTTGTTTCTTATAATGATCCTATTATAATCTGCCATAGAAAGATTTTCATTAAATTTACATCTCTCAATACAATTAGACTACTAAAAAATTCTCTATTAAGATTCAAGTAATAATATTAAACATCATATTCACATTTCTACAGTTCTACTTGACTCCAAACTTTAAAATTTAATTAGGTTTCAAGCCTTCAAATCTTGAGAAGCCCATTGTTGTACTTGAAAGCTACATGGAGATCTCCACCATTTACATAATAAAGCAACTAAATATATCAATAATATGATTTAATTAATTACTAGAAAATATCTTTCCTTCTACATTTATTTTTTTTTTTTTTGCGTTAAAGCAACACACAGGTCAAAGCAACCTAATACTATACTGAAAAGCATGAAAGAAATGTGTTATTTTAACCTTGTCTACTGTTTCATTGTTTGGTAATTGCATAATGGAAAAATGGCCAGCATTATTCTAATAAAAATTAAACTAAATTTTCTCATGTTGAGTAAGTTAAATATAAGTTTGCCTAAGTTAAGGATAACATATGAAGAAAAAGCCAGGCCATATAATATTAGGAGCTTTGGTCACTGCCCTTACCTCAACTCTTGCAGCAGCCCAGGAGCCTTGAGCCACTACTCTCCCATTGGATAAGAAGCTGCATAAGGAAGAAGAAAGGCCATTCAGGGGCTTTCTGGCCCCATAATTCAACAACTGCCACCACCCCTACGGCCTACAGTAGTACTTTAATTGTTAGAGAGCAGAGGGTGGCCTGATTTATTATGACCTTCACTAAGTATTTTTTTTTTCTAACTTCACAGGGTTGTTTTGAAAATATACCTATTCCAAAAAAAAAAAAAAAAGAAAGAAAGAAACCAAAAAAAAAAAAAAGGCAAATCGCACAGTATTTATGACTAGGCTACAGGACTTTTGAGTATAACTGGTTGTCTTGTTTTTGACACAAGCAGATAAAAGTAATTATCTCTAGGTATGATTCAATCCATTTGCTTTATCATTTCCATGTGATTTTAAAAATTAGAATTTCCATAATTAAGTTCATTCAAAAGCACTCCACACAGGATAACAGCAGACACTTGGTCATGCTAAAAGCCATCATGGACTTTGGATTGTTACTTTAACTCTTTGGGTTTCAGTTTCATTATCTAAAAATAAGGGATTAGAGAAGACATGTAAGTTTCCTCCTATGTCTAACATACCTTGGTAATAATACTGGAAACATATTATTATAATGCTGTCATATAAGTTCTACCATAAAATAAAATGACTTTTTAATACTAAACTACAGTAAGTATCCACAAGGCAAGCAATATTATACTACCTAAATAATTCTAACAGCACTTCATTTCTCAGAAAAACTTTTTAATACTCACTTGAGGGTCCTCATCTTTCAACGTATGCTGTGGCATCTGCTCGGTATCAGATATTTCATCTGAAGACTCATTCTTTCTTTTTTGTTTCTTACCCAATGTAATAATGAGTTTGCTGTTTCAGAAGGAAAGAGTAAACAGTAAGAACTATGCATTTTTCCATATTTGGGTCAAACTAAAACAGCCATGATAAACTTTCACCCACTTCATAAAGTTACTTGAATGTCCAACCAACAGTTATCATGAAATTTATAATATTTTTAAAATACAAACTATTCTAATGGCATGAAGATAAACTAATACTACTGCTAATGTACTTCTAAGCATAGACAGGCAGCCAAGTCAGACCACTTGTCACGGAGCCTCAAAGTGACTTTTTGTGAGAAAAATGCCAGGTGATGTATTTAATAATAAAAATAATTCATTTATTTTATTATAAGAGATTTAGAATAAGGGAATTCTTTTCCTTCTACCTCTTGTTAAGTTCAAATTCCACTTACTGTTCTTGAATCACCTCTGTTCCCTAAAGGCTTCTACTTCTTTCTACTCTAGAGCAATTTCTTCTTACTTAAACTATTTAATAATTAATTGCTCTTTAATTATTTCAGTTATGTTAAGGCTTATCTTTGTTGTACTATATATTTCTAAAGAGTAAGAATTATTATTTTTTATTTGCCACAGTGTGTAGATACAGCAGATGTCTTCATGTACACATATACAAGTTTCCTCCAAAAGCAGAACATTTCTATGAAAGCTTTTAAAGCAGAAATGGCATAAATAGAAGCAACAATTACCATTAATTTATATGGAAAAATTTTTGAGCATTCCCAGACCCACAAATAATCTACCAAATCATAACAAATAACACATAAAACCTAAGATAACACTAATATATATTGTTCAGACACAGTTCAAAGCTCTGGTGTTTTGATGTTAAGTGTAGTTCCCAGGGATAGAGCTTGGTGACACCACTCTTGCTGCTCAGGGAGTATGCTGCCACTTTAACAGCTTGCTGCAAAACAAACGCTAAATGCTGGTTTCATTGTTCACCTATTTTCGTAAAGTGAAAATTGCCCTGGATTTCTTTTGGTTAGTGAAAACAGGTACTAATGTGGTGTTGCTGTCTTATGCCACCGAGCCAGCTCCAGCTTTTAGCAATCCTATGTACAACGGCAGGTCTTTCATAAAATGAAGTGGTGTGAACTGAACTTTTGAAAAGTAGGGGATGACTGTATTAACATACATCAAGTACAAGTATTTTAAATGACAATGATTTTTGTTTTTATTCCTCATCTGAGTAGAAGTACAGAGCCCCCACATTTCTTTATCAGCTATAAGAAGTGCAGGGAAATGATTTTAAAGCATAATACCAATTATAAACCATAATAATTACTAATCAGCAAAATTCTATTTTAGATACATACATTCCCAAAACAGAAAACTCCCCAACTCCACAAATACTTCCTATATCAAATACTTATCCATTCTTTCAATAATCAAATATATGGGATAAGGTGGAGGTTAGAAGTATGTGCTTTGAAATCACAGGGTCAACAATTTAAACTCTGGCTCTATCATTTAACTAACTGGACAAATTACATGACTTAATCTTCTAGCCTTAGTTTCCTTGCCTGGAAAATGATATTTTAATAGCGACATCCATTGTTATCAAGAATTAAGTGCTACAGTCTATGTCAGCTGTTAGACAGACTTGCCACATAGTAATTTTTCAACTAATGGTTATTGTTGCTGTTAGCTGCTGACTCATGGCAACCCCATGTACAACGGGATGTATAAAATCCACAGTTTTCACAGGCTGATTTTTGGGAATAGAGCACCAGGCCTTTCTTCCTCACCTATCCAAGTCTGGAAGCTCCATTAAAACCTATCCAGCATCACAGCAACACTCAAGCCTCCAGCCTCCACTGACAGACAGGTCATGGCTGCATATTAGGTGCACTGGCTAGGAATCTAACATAGATCTGCAGCATACAAGGTGAGAATTCTCCCACTGAACCACCCTCTTCAACTAATGGTAACTATTTCTAATTATTACATTTTCAGCACTTGCATAGGATCTGGGATTTGAATATAAAGGGACACAGTGTCTAACCTTAAAGCACTGTAGTTTTTACTATTAGAATGTGATTACAGTCAAAATGCTAAGTGGATGACAGCATAGGATATAATGTCAACAGAAAGGAAGAAGTGCTTACGTAAAAGAGGCTTTACAGAAAAGGTGAAGTTTGAAATAAGACTAGAATAATGAGAATTTTAACAGGTAGTGAAAGAGGAAGGAGGTACATTCCAGGTAGGGATATAACACAGAGGAATGAGGAGAACATAGAGTACAACAGCATGAGAGGAACACCCAGAAGACTGCAGAAGGAGAAAACTGAGAGCTGGACCGGCAGATGGGGTGAATATCACGAACAGAAGGCATTGTTAACATTTTATCTTAAGCCACTTTTTTAAGTTACACACAGCAGGAATTTAAAAGAAGTCGTCACTGGCCACAATGTTTAATGAATGGCACTGAGATATATTTGAATATATGTAAAAAAAGAAAGCAACTGCAAGACAAAATTTTGAACAAGGGAAAAAATATGACTAGAAGGAAATGAAATGTAAGGCAGGGGAAACCAGTCATAAAACGAGCAACTTTTCAGGTAAGATGAAGAATCTCAGGGCAACGGCCATATGGATGAAGAAAGATGTTTTATTTATTTATTTATTTATTTGGAAATAGAACCACTAGGACTTGATTACTGACTAGATGTTTGGATATAAGAGAAGAAATTCTAAATGTTCTTTTCCTAGAATATTTATGTCTTGGTGATTACCATGCTAAACAGGATAATGGCAATTTCTACTTGGTATCTTCCTCGCTTGCACTGCTTTGAGTATGTGAAGAAAGCAATTAAGAGCAAAAACATTACTTATGCTAAAACCAGGGAACCCGGAAACACAAAAAGATATTTTGAAATAACATTAGGAAAACAACCATAGTTACACTCTTTCTCTCCCACCACTTTCATTGGTCATTTCCCTTTTCTTCTGGTCTCTTTACCTTACTCTAGTGTCCTATTCTAAGATAAAAATCTTCCATGAGGTCAAATCTACTGTTAGAAATGACACGATCTCTTTTTCCCGCCTCGTACTCTTAGTTCTCAATAAACAACTGACTATATGGTTTTATTTTCATTCAACTGAAAAGATGTGTTCTTTTCTGAATATACATCATATATAAGTAGAATACTGCAGTTACATTTGGGGATAATGAGGATTTGTAGGTATTTTGAGATTGATATAACTAAATGGGACATTTATCTTGATATGTCTAATAAGTAGTTGATTATAACACGAACACGTGAAACTACTTTTCATATTCATGTTGTCGTCGTTAGCTAGTATCAGGGTTGGCTCTGACTCATGGTGACTCTAAAAGAATGAAATGCAGCCCTAGCCTATGCTTTCTCCATGAGCTTTGATATGCTAAAGCCCATTGTTGAGGCTACTAAATCAACCCATCTCATGGAGGGTTTTCCTCATTTTTGTGAATGCCCCTACTTTACCAAATATGATGTCCTTTTCTAGTGATTGGTCTTTCCTAATGACATGTCCAATGTAAGCATGATGAAGTCTTGTCATCCTGGCTTCTGGAACATTCCAGTTTTATTCCTTCTAACACTAATTAGTTTGTTCTTCTAGGGTATGTTCAATATTCTTCACTAACACCACTATTTGAATGTATCAATTCTTCTTTTGTCTTCTTTATTCATTGCTCAGTTTGCACATGCATATGAGGCAAATGGAAAGACCCTGGCTTAGGTGAGATGCACTATAGTCATCAAAGTGGTATCTTTACTTTTTAAAATTTTAAAGAGGTCTTCTGCAGCAGATTTGTCCAATGCAATATATTGTTCAATTTCTTGGCTTCTGCTTCCATAGGCACTGATTGTTGACTGAAGAAGAATAGACTCCTTGACAACTTCAGTTTTTTTTCTAATTGAGATGCTTCAACAAAGAGATGCAACACTGGAAGCGCTCACTCATCTATGATAAGAAATCTGGAAGACAGCTACCTGGCCAAGCAAATAGAAGAGATCCGTTATTTGTGCCCATTTCAAAGAAAAATAATGAAATGGAATGTGGAAATTAAAAAATATTATTAATATCACATATTAGCAAAATTTTCCTGAAGTTAATTTAAAAACGTAGCCATATACTGACAAGGGAATGGCCAGAAGTTTAAGCTAGATTCAGAAGAGTAAGTAGAATGAGTGATATCATTGCTGATTTCAGATGGATATTGGCCAACAACAGAGAATACCAGAAAGATGTTTACCTGTATTTATAGACTACAAAAAGACATTTGACTGTATAGGTATTAAAAAATTATAGGTAACATTACAAAGAAGGGAGCTCTAGTGGTGTGGTGCCTAAGGCATTTGACTGCTAACCAGAAGGCTAGCAGTTCTAACGCATTAGCCACTCCTCAGAAGGAAGACTGGGCAAACTAATTCTGTAGAGATACCACCTCAGAAACCCATGGAGGGGTCTCTAGGAGTTGGAGCTGACTCACCGGCAGTGAGTTATTTTTTTTTTTTTTGGTAAACAAAGAATAGGAATTCCAAAACAGTAATTGTGCTTATACAGAATCTGTACATGGATCAAAGAGGCAGTTGTTAGAACTGAAAAAAGGGATACTGTGTGGGTTAGGGTTGGAAAAGTTATGTGGTAGGCTTGTACTCTTTCACCATACTTATTCAATCTGTATTGTGAACAAATAAAGCAAAAGTCAGACTAAATGAAAAATAACTGTGCATCACAATTAGAGGAAGACTCATTAACAATCTGCGATATGCAGATGACACAACCTTGCTTGCTGAAAATGAAGATGATCTGAAGCACTTACTAATAAAGGTAAAAGCCTTTAGTATGGATTCATATTCACAGCTTTCCTTTATTCAGTGTTTAGTATGAGCTTCTCTTACTAGCTGTTCACACAACTCTTGAGAAGCAAGTATAATTATTTTAGAAGAGGAGGAAACTGAGGTACGGAGTTGTTCAAAGTCACACATTTAGGAAGGACACAGACAAAAATTGGGTATT